GTTCCCGTGGCGTTTGGGACGCTCAAGACAATCTGCGCAAAGCGTCCCTTGGAGGGTCTGCGGTCACCTCGGCCCACGGTCCCTGGGTGGCGGGGCTCCCGCAGCCCTTCCTTCCGCCTCCTCCTTCTTCCGTCTGCACCTCCTCCCTGCATGCGGCACCTCCACGTCCTGAAGCCTGTGCTGGGTGTGGCACAAGGATGCTGCTGACCACAGGCCAGGAGACCAGCTGGGGTGGGGAGCGGGGCCACCCAGTGGGCGTGGCGGCTGTCCTGGAGCCACCTCACCTGTGTCAGGAGAGCACACACTTGCAGCTCATGCAGCCAGGGCCGCTCTCGTCGGGAGGGTTCAGTTTCCGAAGCTTGTGCTGCCGAATCTCACGCACCAGCGTGTAAAAAGCATCCTCCACTCCCTGGGAAAAGAGGGATGGGATCAGGGGGGACCAGCCAGGAGCCCCCTGCCTGGGCGAGGGGGGCTCCCTGCTGTGGGATCAAGTCATGCCTGGCCCGATGCTCCCAACTCCCCCAGGCCCACCACACAGACAGCAAGCTGGGCTCTGGTCATCTCGAAGACCCTAGGGGCACCCCCATCACTATAGAGCAGTACCCTCAAAGATCAGTGTGACCCAGGACCCTCCTGAACTCCAGGTCTGGCCAGGGTTTGACCGCCCTGCGCCCAGCTCTCATCTGAGCTACAGCCAGTGTCCCTGGCAGCCCCACTAAGGGCTCAGAACCCACAGATGCCCGCGGGACACTACGGGGTGAAAGGGGCCGGGCCCCAGGGTCACCGCTCCGGCCTGGCTCAGGGCAGCTCTCTCCAAGGACCTCTGCCTCCCCAGAGCTGTGTCGGCCCAGGACTGCAGGGCGTGAGCCCAGGCCCCGGCCCTCGCCTCCCTCACTGCCCTGCCGTCCCGGGAGACTTACAGCGCAAGGGGCCGCTGGGTCACATGAGTCCCGGGGGGTCCCAGAGGGTCCCGGAGCTGGAGCCAGAACCAGAGCGGCTGCCCTGTGTCAAGGGAGAGGGGTCAGTGAGTGCTGCTCCCTGGCTAGGGTGGGGCGGGTGAGTCCCTGGCTAGCAGCAGGGTGGAGAGCTGGCTCACCTGCCGGGTTTTGGCCGAGGTCTCGATGTAGGGGATGCCGTAGCTTCGGGCGAGGTCCTGAGCCTGCCGAGACTCCACGGTGCGTGCAGCCAGGTCACACTTGTTCCCCACCAGCACCATGGGCACGTCGTCCGAGTCCTTCACCCGCTTAATCTGCTCCCTGAGAGACGAAAGGGGAGAGCTGGCAGGGGCTACGGGCACAGCTGCATCAAGGACAAGCACAGAGAGAACAGGAGGCCCCCGTCGTCCGGCACAGCCCCCCAGGGCCGGCCTCGTGGTTCACCTGTACTGGTGGATGTCCTCGAAGGACTTGGTGTTGTTGATGGCGAAGACACATAGGAAGCCCTCCCCGGTGCGCATGTACTGGTCTCGCATGGCGCTGTACTCCTCCTGGCCGGCCGTATCCAGGATGTCCAGCAGGCACGTCTCCCCGTCAATGACCACCTGCTTCCGGTAGGAGTCCTGCAGGAGGGCACGGCTCAGGGACTCCTCAGGACCCTCCTCGGGGGGCTCACACTGCCAGCCCCTCCCTCGGACCTCGCATGCCCCTTCTCGGGCGTCCTGAGACAAGGGGATCCCCTCCTCTGGGGGAAGCAGGAGACAGGCCCATACCACGGTGCAGGGCCAGGGGCTGCAGCCACCCCATCCTGGCAGTGTTCTGGGCTCCCCCACAGCAGCTCTGGAGGCCTGGACAGCACCGCCAGGCTCACCTCTATGGTGGGGTCGTATTCGTCCACGAAGTGGTTCTGGATTAGCTGGATGGTCAGGGCACTCTTCCCCACGCCACCGGCACCCACCACCACGAGCTTATATTCCGTCATCGCTCCTCAGGGCCTGCGGCCCGGGGTACTGCAGGGTCTCCTGCCCCACCTGCCAAGGAGGGCCCTGCTCAGCCAGGCCCAGGCCCCTCAGGGCAGCTGCTGGCAGGGCCATCGGAAGGGCAAACCCACAGAGGGCCCTGGGCCCCAACACTGGGGCGGGAAGGGTGGCAGCAACAGCAGCGTGCCTACCTGCGCGGCTGCGCCCCGGCGGGTGGGGGGTGTCGCCTCGTCCCCACCTGCTCTTAATGACCCAGTGAGGCGAAAGGGAGCCGGCCCTCAAAGGCACGGCTGACAGCTGAGCACTCTCAACCACACACCCAAATTAGAAGCTGCTGGGTCGGCAGAAAGGCTAACGGGAGGCGCCCGAGGGCTGAGGTTACCGTCCCCCGGAACAGGTCTGGCCACGGCGGAGCGCGCCACGGCGTGCCCGGGCAGGCCAATGCCAGCCCGCAGGCCCCGCGGCGCTGGTGCCTCGGACAAGTATTTGCTGAGCGCCTACTGCGTGCCAGGTGCGCTGTGGGGAGAGCAGACCCAGGCAGCGCCCCGCGCCCCCGGCGGGGATCCCGAGCATCCAGCAGAAGAAAACCGGAGAAGACGGACAGGCAGGGCTCCCGGGAACAGGCGACGAGGGGCGGCAAGGCCCTGGGGCCGAGGGCCCTGGCCTGGCCCACGACCTGCGATGCTGAATCGGGGTGCCCGGGGCCGGCCAAGGCCGCCTCCGCCCTGACGCGCTGCGCTGCGAGCGCGCCCGGCCCGAGCTCCAGGGGCCGCCGGCGTGGGGACCGTGCCCAGCGCCAGGCCACGGGCGGGGCTCGGGCTCCCGCGGGCCCCGGGGAGGACGGGGTTCGAGCCCGCTCCCGCCCCGCCCCCGCAGCCCCCGACGCGGGCTCACCTGTGCCCGCGGCCCCGCCCGGCCCGGCCCCGCCCGCCCCGGCCCGCGCCCCCGGCCCGCGCCGCGCGTAGAGCCACCGCCTGGGGCGGGGAGGACGCGCGGCCCGACCGACCCCCACCCGCACTCACCGCTCACTGGCGCGACTGCCCCCGGAGCCGGAGCCGGGGCCGGGGCGGGGGCGGGGCGGGGCGGGGGCGGGGACGCGCGGCTCGCCCCGCGCATGGGCTCCGTCCGCGGCGGGTGCGGCTCGGGCTGCAGGCGCCGGGCGCGGGCGGCGAAGACTCTGCCGGGCCCGCGCACGCCCCGCCCCGCGCCCGTCCGTCAGCGCGACGCGGCCCGCCATTGGCCGCGCTCCACCGGGCCCGCCCCGCCCCGCGCCCGTCCGTCAGCGCAACGCGGCCTACCATTGGCCGTGCTCCACCGGGCCCCGCCCCACTCCACCCCGGTTGGCTGAGCGGCCCGCCTGTCAGGAGCCGCGGCCGGGCGGGGCTTCCGGGAGCAACGCGGGAGGCGGAGCCGGGAGGGCCGAAGCCTCGCGGGGGTGTGGGTGGGACCCTCGCGCGGAGCCGCGCTCTGGGGTGCACGCGGAGGGCGGGGAGCCGGCGTCTGGGACCCCCGGACTCTCCCGGGAACAGGCCGGCGAGAGAGCCCGACTCCGCGACGCCCGTGGCTCCGAGCCCTTCCCTGCGCCGGCAGCGCGGCGCCGCCCACCGCGGAGGTCCCTGGGCTCCGGGCTGGGGAAAGGCCGAGGTCCACTCGGGACCAGGGCCGGCCGCTCGGAGCTGGGGACCCCCGGGTGGCCGCGCGCTCCGGTTGCCCGGCTCCCCTTCCGCGCAGCTGAAGCGGCCCCGCACCCGGGCGGTGCACACCCCGAGGACGCCTCGCAGGCCGGGGGGGTTCCGGGCGGCGGGCGCAACCGCGAGGACGGCGTCGCCACCGCCTTCCTCTAACTTGGGCCCGCTGGCGGGCGACCCTGTGCCCCCAAACTTGAGGGTCGCAAATTGCCATCGGGGAGCGAAGGGCCCGGGGCTCACCCCAAGCAACAAAGCGCACATGCTAGGTCCTTTCAAACTCAAAAGGACGTGTTTTTAACGTGTTTTAAAATTGCAAACGAATGAGAAATACATCGTCAATAAAAAACAAAAGGCGGGCTGGGCGCGGTCACGCGGGTAACCGCAGCACCCGGGAGGCCGAGGTGGGCGGGTCACCTGAGGTCAGGGCTTCAAGACTGGCCGGGCCAATACGGTGAACACCCGTCTCTACTGGAAATACAAAAAATCGGCCGGGCGCGGAGGCGCGTGGCTGTAGTCTCAGCTGCTCGGGAGGCTGAGGCAGGAGAATCGCTTGGACCCCGGGGGCGGAGGTTGCGGGGAGCCGCGATCCCGCCATTGCGCCCCAGACTGGGCCACAGAGCGAGACTCTGTCTCAAAAAAAAGGGGCGGCTGGTTTACGGTCCCGCAACCCTGCCGCTGCCCGGCCCAGCGCCCGCCCCGCCGCCACGCCCTCCCGCGCGGGTCGCTGCTGTCCCCGGGCTCCACCCACGTGGGGTCCCGGGGTCCCGCGCGGTCGCAGCCAGCACCCGGCTCGGGACGCACGCGCGTGGACGCGGCCGAGAGGCGGCGCGCTCCGGCGTCCGGTCGGCTTCCTGGTCCTCGGGGGCGCTCTACCGGCGTTTCTTTTTGCGGTCGGCCTCACTTCCAAGCGAAGGTCAGGGCGGCAGGCCTCGGCCCTGGGAGAGGTGGGCGCGAGCCTCCTGCCGAGACCGCCCTGCCGGCCCCGCGTGGGAAGCGCCGGGATGGCGAGGAAACGCGACACGTGCACCGCGACGGCCCGGCTCGGAGCCAACGGGGTCTGGCCCCTGACGCGTCCGCGCGCACCCGCGTTGGTGGCGCGTCACCTCCCGCCGGGATCGCGCGCGGCTGCCGGGCGCCCACGCGCAAGCCAGCCCGCGTGGCCCCGCCCTAGCAACCGTTGCTAAGGGGCGTGGCTCTACCCCACCGAACGCGAGGCTGCTGCTTATAAATATTTGCGTATTCAAATAAGGCCCCGCCCCCGTTGCCATGGCGCCGAGGCCGCAACCCCGCGGCCGGAGGAGCAGCCGGCAGTAGGAGGCGGCGGAGGGCGGCCAGGGCCGAGCCCCCAGGGCCGGACACCTGGGCCGGACACCTGGGCCGAGCCCTCAGGTGAGAGCCGAGCGCACCCTTGCGGTGGGAGCCGCAGGCCTCGCTCTACGCCCGGTGTTCGGGGGGAGCCCGCGCCGAGACCTGGGCGAGGGAGAAAGCGGCACAGCCGGCGGGGACGCAGTGATGGTCCCCATGTCAGATCTGGGCCTCTGGGGACCCTGGCCCCCACCGGCCCCTGGGCCTGCACTGAAGGGGCTCCCTGTCAGGGGACCGGAGGGGCCCCAAGCCCTGCCCCGAGGGAGACGCAGAGGCAAGGACTCAGGATGCTCCGGAGGCTCCAGGGTGGGGCTCAGGAGGGGGGCAGGCCCTAACCCTCACAGCCCCCATCGTGAAGGGGCCAGGGCTCCCGGGGATCCAGAGTTGATGAGCTACCCACCAGGGAATGGCAGTAGCTGGGGTCTGGAGCCTGGAGGGTCACAGAGAGGATTCGGGGTGGGAGCAGGGCCGTGAAGTGCATGGATGGTTCAGGCCTGGGCAAGAACTCCAGGAGCAGTGTCTGAGGTGGGAGTCCAGTGGGGCTTCTGACTCCACAGCCTCCAACCCCTGGTCCTTGCACCCCCAGGCGTTGGGGCTCAGACCAGCCTGATACTTGGGGCTCTCGGGCACAGAGGAAACGAGGGTGACTGACTCAGCCCCTGGTACCACCCGTGGGTGTCCAGGGGCTGCCTCACCCGGCCAGTTCTCGCCCTCCATGAGGCTGGAGGCCTGGATGGAGGTGGCAGGGTCCTGCTGAGGCCTCAGGCCTTGCCTGGCTGGAGAAAGGCAGCCAGCAGGGGAGAGTGGCTGGAAACTCCATGAGACGCTACCGCAGGCTTCTTTCAGCCTTGCTGTAGGTCACCTTCCAGACCAGGCCACTGAGGCACGGGAGCCTGCGCTACTGCCCCGTTCCAGCACTCCCCCCACCACCTCCGTCAACGGCCAGCCACGGCGGCTGGCACTGGGCAGCTCTAGACAGGATGGAGAGGATGCGTCTTCAACATCCGCACGAGGTCAACAGATAAAAGCCAGGGCGTTCTAAGTGGCTGTATGCGCATCCGCCTGTGGACGGCTTCCTTCTACAAATATTTTAGCACCCTCTCCTGCGACTGTGGACAGCAAAGAAGCACCCAGCTCCGGGGCGAGGCAGGCCCTCAACCCAACGCGTAGTAAGACACACAGGGTTCCGAAGGGGATCTATCTTCTCAGGAGAATAAATCTGGGAAGGCTGGGGGGTACTGCAGGAGGGAGGTCCAGACTGAAGACAAAGCCAGTCAGGGAGGAGGACGCCAGACACTTCAAGCGCACTTCTGGCTCCACCCTGCAGCTCACGATTCCAGGGTCTAGGGCCGAGGCAGACTTCTGCATCTTTAAGGGGCAACACCAGGCTCACCTGGTGCAGGTGGTCCAGGGACACACCGGGCAGACACCCTCAAAGGCCTGGGGAGGGGCTCTGGAAGAATGGGGTGCCACTGGTACCCCAGCACGCTCAGTACCCCACACACCCACACCAGCATCGCAGAGGAGGGAAGTGGGATTGGGATGAGCACCAGGCTCTGCGTTGGGGGATCCAGAGGAACCCAGCATCCGTCACACACCTGACTCTTCCTCCTCACCAGCGGGGCCGGGAGATGGTCAGGTCCTGGGCTGACCTGCCCACCTCTGGGTGCTGTGACCTCAGCCCGGCCTGTTCCAGGTTCCCTTGGGCACAGTGACCCGGCCAGGAAGCCACCCTGACTCGCAGGTACTGCCTGAGGCTCATGCCGCCTCCTTGCCTGGATGTTTGACCCACAGCAGAAGAAGGCGGCTGCCTGCAGGTGAAGGGGCTCAGAGGGCACAGGGTGGGTAGGGGAAGGCCTGGGACCTGATCCTGAACCCCAGGCTCAGAGACCATCAGGTGGAGAAAGACCCATAGCCCAGAGCTTGAGGCAGCCCTGGGAACCCCACAGCGGCAGGCAGCTGGCCTGGCACCCCCAAGCGCACAGCCCTTGTGGGCCTCAGATGGGGCGGCCTTTAGCCAGCACTGCCTGCGTGGACCCTGAGGATGAGCAGAAACATTGGGAGGGTGTCCTACGGAGCAGACGGGTGGAGCAAGGCTGGGGGAAGGGAGTGCGAGGCGCTCCAGGCTGAGTCTAAGCAGACAAGGGCCCCATGAGGCCCAGCCAAGTCAGGAGCCTTCTCTAGGCTCGGGGTGGAAGCAGGCACCAAGGGCTCGCTGTGTATGGGGGGAGGGGGCTGAGGGCTGTGCCAGGGTCTCAGCCAGGCTACAGAGGAAGAGGAGCAAAAGCTTGGAGCTTTCGTTCTGCCTCTGCCAGCAGGTTTCACGTGAATGGACCCAGTCTGGGACAGATCCCGTGGGTCTCGGCCCAGCACCGCCAGCGTCCGGGTGCGGGAGCTGAGCTGGCAAGGCCTGCAGAACCCCTGCCCACAGAGCAAGGGCCCTGGCGGCCAGCAGGGCAGCCGCAGAGAGCAGCGGGTGGAAGAGTACCTGTCCCCCGCCCGACTGGTGAGTGCAGGCACGGGGGTGCTGGCCACAGAGGCCTGTGTGGGGTGCCATCCCAGGACCCCTTTCTGCTGATGTCCACTCTCGGTCCCCTACTGCTGGTCTTCCCGCTGACGGTTGGCCTCAGCCCAGCCCCTGCAGCTGGGTCTGCTCCACCCACTCTGCCCTTGGCCCCCAGCCAGGCCCCAGGTGCTTGGTGACACAGACATCCCCAGGCATTTGGTTGGGTCACAGACAGGAGGGAGCCAGGCCAGAACCCACAAGTAGAGGCTAAGCGTCCACTGCCCTCCAACCAAGAGGAGTCCTTCCCTGGAGCAGGGCTAGATGCCATCTGGACTCTGGGCTCCGGGCACAGTGTGTCGGCCCTGGGAGTCTCCTTGGAGATGCCAGCCCCACCCAGGGCAGGTCCTTCCCTGGCAATGGCCCCACCAGCCACATGCAGCCCAGGTTCTGCTCACCCCCATCCCACCAGCCAGGCCAAGGCCAAGGTGGCCAAGGCAGGGAAACATCCATGCCCGCTCCAAAGGGAGCCCCACAGAGTCCTACCAGCCAGAAGCAGAGATGGAACTAGGGTGGGGAGAGCCGGGACCAGTGCTGACCGCTGGTTGGTTTCTACAGCAGGCCCTGGCCCTGGTGGATGACCTTCGGCTGGTGAGGGCGCTGGAGGTGTGTGTGGACACCCGCGAGGGCAGCCTGGGGAACTTTGGTGAGCCCCGTCATGCCCCAGCACAGCCAAAGCCACGGCCACGGCCACGGCCAGGCCTCCCGGTAAACAACATGCGTTTTCTGGTTATGACCACAAAGCTGTCCACACCTCTCAGCTCAGGCGACACAGCAGCTTCCTTAGGGTTGGCCCCTCACCTGAGGTCTGTGTCAGGTACAGGCAGAGGGCAACACACTCAGTACCCCACACAACCACGCCAGTACCCCAAGCACGCTCAGTACCCTGCACGACCACGCCGGTACCCCCAACACGCTCAGTACCCTGCACGACCACGCCGGTACCCCCAGCACGCTCAGTACCCAGCACACCCACGCCGGTACCCCCAGCACACTCAGTACCCTGGACGACCACGCCAGTACCCCCAACACGCTCAGTACCCAGCATACCCACGCCAGTACCCCCAGCACGCTCAGTACCCTGCACGACCATGTCAGTACCCCCAACACGCTCAGTACCCAGCACGACCACGCCAGTACCCCAAGCACACTCAGTACCCAGCACACCCACGCCGGTACCCCCAGCACGCTCAGTGCCCTGCACAACCACGCCAGTACCCCCAACACGCTCAGTACCCAGCACACCCATGCCAGTACCCCCAGCACACTTAGTACTCAGCACACCCATGCCACTACCCCCAGCACGCTTAGTACCCCACACACCCACACCAGCATCACAGAGGAGCAGAGGCCGATATGGTGCTGAATGCCATATGGCGTCTCCTGAAACTCATCTTGAAATAATCTCAGCTATAGCAGGGTATGGTGGTGTGCACCTGTAATCCCAGCTACTTGGGAGGCTGAGGCAGGAGAATTGCTTGAACCTGGGAGGCGGAGTTTGCAGTAAGTCAAATTCGCACTACTGCCTGCTAGCCTGGGCGACAGCGTGAGTTTCCATCTCAAAAATAAGTAAATAAATAAAAATAAAAAGTTAGACCGGCACGGTGGCGCCTAGAGTCCTAGCTACTCGGGAGGCAGGGGGTCAAGCTGCAGTGAGCTGCGATTGCACCCCTGCACTCCAGACTGGGTGACAGAGCAAGATCCTACTGCCCCCGCCAGGTCCCTTCTCCTTAGCCAGGTTCACGTGTGTTCACGTATGTTCATGTGTTCACATGTTCACGGTGTGTCTTCACCCCTGCCCCCTCCCGTGTATGCACAGCACGTCAAGCCGCGGCTATTTTTTCTGATCTAGTTGAGAGTTGCAGATATAAGACCCCTTTATTTACTGACACTTCCGTGTGCATTTCCTGAGAGGGAGGACGTTCTCTTAAATGCCGCACCACGATCAAAGTCGGGAGTTAACGCCCCGCGTGACTCTCAGCCGTGCCGAAGACCATAATCAAACGCCAACAGCTGTCCCAACAGTGACTGCTTTTTTTTTTCTTTGTTTTGAGATGGAGTCGCTCTGTCGCCCAGGCTGGAGTGCAGTGGTGCGATCTCGGCTCACTGCAGCCTCCGCCTCTCGGATTCAAGCGATTCTTCTGCCTCAGCCTTCTGAGGAGCTGGGATTACAGGCACTCGCCACGACGCCTAGCTAGTCTTTGTGTTTTTAGTAGAGACGGGGTTTCATCATGGTAGCCAGGCTGGTCTCGAACTCCTGACCTCAGGGGATCCGCCCACCTCGGCTGTGAGCCATGGGACCAGCCGACAGTGACCTTTAGAGCAGGAGGCGCCTTCCCACCCAGGGTTGCTGGCTGTTTGCATTCCTCCGACTGAGGTTCATGTCGGTCGGTCTTCTTTTCTGTTTGGAAGAGCCTGTAAGTCCTTGACCACTGTGGCCACTCTGTGCACCCCCGAGGCCATCTGCACTCGCTCCAGCCCTTCCCACCAGGCACGGTCTTGGAGCGCCTGTGCCCACAGGCCTGCCTTCCCCCCACGGCCCACTCTGCAGCCCTTCTCCTCACGGTGCAGGGATTCTGTCCCACAGGGCCATGCCCCATCCCACAAAAGACTCCAAATGCAGGGCCTTTTCCTGGGGCCTTGGGCTGTGCAGAGACACGCTGGGGCGTCTGGCCCCGTGTCCTGGGGATCTGGGCCCGAGCTTCGTTCTGTATGCGGCTGTGTGCAATGGTCTGGGATGCCAGGGGAGGGCTGTGGGGGCAGCTCAAGGGCAGGGCCATGGTGGCAACTCAAGGGCAGGGCCCAGACTAGGCCAAGAGAGCACCACCGCCCAGCCACGCCGGCTGGCCCCCGTCCCAAGCCGACTCTTGGAGCCGACTCTTGGAGCTGACTCTTGCAGCCCGGCTGCAGACGAGGGCATGGAACATGAGCCTTTGGGGGGTTCAGGGCAGCTGGGCCAGGCCTTCTACCAGGCCCACGGAATCAGAAGGCCCCTTGGGTCCTTAGAGGAGACACAGGCCTGGAGCAGCTCCCGGATGCCACACAACCGCTCTTTTGGTGTGGAGAGAGAGAGGCCTGTGAGGTTGGCCCATGAGTAGTGAGGGGCCAGGGCCACTGATGCCTCAGGGTGCAGGAGGGTACAGAGGTGGGCGGGGTGAGGGGCCCGGCCAACCTCCTCCTCCTGCGGCCCTACAGGGGTGCACCTGCCCAACCTGGACCAACTGAAGCTGAATGGCAGCTACCTGGGCTCCCTCAGGTGAGTGCCTGGGTGGGGTGGGCTGGGCCCCTGCCGTGAGGGGATCCCAGGGGCAGGCCCTGCAGCAATGAGGGAGAACTTGGTGGGAGTGGGGGGCCTTGGGCTGGGACAAGGGTCCCAGGGGTCTAGAGAGCACCATCCTGCTGGCTGCCTGACCCCAAGTGACCCTGTGGAGGGTAGATGGGCAGGTGGGGGGAGCCTGGGACTTTCAGGCGGGTCTGGGCCCCCTCCAGCTGTGAGAGGGTCTCTCAGTGGGTCTTTGTTGAGAGGACTACTCCTGGGCCAGCCTGGCTCCCAGGGGTCCTACCTATGCCCTATGGCCTCTGGCTCAGCCCGGATGCACCCCCTTGCCACGTGACCCTGGCACGTGTAGCTCTTGTGTCTAATGGGTGGCAGGCCCCCGCTGCAGGTGCCCCCCCACTCAGAGCTGGGCCAGGGTCACAGCGGTCATGCCAGGTCGCATGGCCAAACAAACACCCCAACGGTGACCCCACTGTGAGCTCTCCCTGGTGGATACCCCAAAGCCTACTGAGGCTGGGGACTTCTGTCCTCTGCACCACGCCTTGCAGCCCGGGACTTTGGCTGCACCATGAGGCCAGGAGCTTGGGGTCTGGGCAAGAACAGCAACCTCCAGCCAGAGCCCACCCACGGAACCCGGACCAGAGGCAGCCCCCAGGAGAAGCACGGGAAGCTCCGTGCCCTGACAGCGACTCACAATTTGGAGCTGAAGACATGGTGGTTCTCACATCATCGGAATGGAAAGAACAAGGCGGAAGGAACATTATTCTGGAGGTTTAGGCAAAGTGGATTTTGTGAAAACGCTGCTGGTTTTATGTAGCCTGTTCCCAGCAGCATAAAGCAGAAGAATTCCAGACAGAGTTCTAGAACATTCTCCAGCTGTTTGAATTGGGCTTCAAGAGCCACATCTAGCTATTTACAGATGAGGATAAGGTATTGAATACGCAACCTCGCTTTGAATGTTTTCTTGATTTTCCTTATTTTTACCTCCGTTTATGAAGCAAATATCAAGTGGGCTGGGCACAGTGTCTCACGCCTGTAATCCCAGCACTTTGGGAGGCCAAGGTGGGCAGATCACCTGAGGTCCAGGGTTTGAGACCAGCCTGGCCAATATGGTGAAATCCCATCTCTACCAAAAATACATAAATTAGCTGGGCATGGTGGTGCATGCCTGAAATCCCAGCTACTAAGGACACTGAGGCAGAAGAATTGCTTGAATCCGGGAGGCAGAGGTTGCAGTGAGCAGAGACCGCACCACTGCAATCCAGCCTGGGTGATAGAGTGAGACTCCACCTCAAAAAAAATAAATATCTGAAGGAATTTAATAAAATACACAAAGACCTGGAAATGGAAAAGATTGGAAAACACTCTGGGGTCGAATACACAGTGGGCAGCCCACAGAACTGGGACAGAGAAGGGGCCTGGAAATGAAGCCAGGCCTGCGGCAGGCACCCCGACAGTGCCATGAACCAGAAACTAGGATGGGTGTGGGAAATAGACTTCTTGGAAGCACGCCTCCTAGCCAGGCGTGGCAGCTCACGCCTGTAATCCCAGCACTTTGGGAGACCGAGGCAGGAGGATCACTTGAGATCAGGAGTTCAAGACCAGCCTGGCCAACATGCTGAAAATCTGTCTTTTTATTTATTTATTTATTTTTTTGAGACGGAGTTTCGCTCTTGTTACCCAGGCTGGAGTGCAATGGCGCGATCTCGGCTCACCGCAACCTCCGCCTCCCGGGTTCAGGCAATTCTCCTGCCTCAGCCTCCTGAGTCGCTGGGATTACAGGCACGCGCCACCATGCCCAGCTAATGTTTTGTATTTTTAGTAGAGACGGGGTTTCACCGTGTTGACCAGGATGGTCTCGATCTCTTGACCTCGTGATCCACCCGCCTCGGCCTCCCACAGTGCTGGGATTACAGGCTTGAGCCACCGCGCCCGGCCCTGAAAATCTGTCTTTACTAAAAATTCAGAAATTGGCTGGGCATGGTGGTGCTGGTAATCCCAGCTACATAGGAGGCTAAGGCACGAGAATCACTTGAACCCGGGAGGTGGAGGTTGCAGTGAGCCGAAATCACACCACTGTACTCCAGCCTGGGCAACAGAGCAAGAGTCCTCCTTCTCAAAAAAACAGAACAAAAACAAAGAACATAAAAAGTGTCCCAGGACAAGCCGGGCGCGGTGGCTCAAGCCTGTAATCCCAGCACTTTGGGAGGCCGAGGCGGGTCGATCACGAGGTCAAGAGATCGAGACCATCCTGGTCAACATGGTGAAACCCCC